AGGGAGGAAGGAGGGAGGGAGGGAAGGAGGAAGGAAGGGAGGAAGGGCTTCCTGCCTTTTTTGGTGGCAGCAGGGACCCGGGAGCCCACCCATGTGACCGTGGCAAGTGCCAGCCCTCTCAGGGTCTCCGCCACCTCTATGCAGGCAGTGGCTGCTGCTCTCACCTCACCATCCCCGTCGCTGGAGCCCGACAGCTGAGACAGGCGGCTCAGGTCCCACAGGGAGCGGCTGGGCCGGGCTGGGGGGCCGCTGGCTGTCCGGGACCCCTGCACACTGCGCAGGACGTCGCTGAGGGCGGGTGCAGGGGCCTCCCTCGGGTCCCCCTCCAGCAGGCAGCAGGCAGCCAGGCGGTGGGCCAGGGTGCTGTCGGGCAGCAGGGGTGACACCGGGGCGACTGGGCAGCGCTGGAGCACTCTGTGCGGGCTGCGGGCGGGCGATGGGTCCCCGGAAATGCGGAACAGGGCGTCTGCGGCCGGCGGGGGCGGGAGAGGCCCGGAGGCTGCGTAGAGCGTGCGGAACTCGTGGCTGAAGGCATCGGCGATTTCTCCGGTCAGCAGGGTGAGCAGGCCGCGGTGCAGGCGAGCGTCACTCCACGTGAAGCTGGGGGCATGGCTGGGGTCAGATCTCCGCAGCCCGGCTCCCTGCCCAGTGCTGCCTCGTGACCTCGGGCCAGCCAGCCTCCCTCTCGGGCTCAGCTGTGCCCTCTGCAGAATGGGGACAACAGAAATCCCCACCCTTGTCTGGGGCCAACATGGGCTAAGGTATTTCTACCACTATCTGGAGCCAGGCTGGAGGGGACTTTGTGAGACTTCTGTGACACTCTTGCTATGTATTGCAGGCTGGCCTTAGACTCGCTGTGTAGCCCAGGCTGGCCTGGAACGCACAGTGATTCTCCCGCCTCAGCTTCCCAAGTGCTGGGATCACAGGTGTGGGTCACCACACCTGGCTCCCAAGGGACTGTTTTAAAACTGCTACCTAGAAAGACTCCCCCCGTCAAACACTTGTTAAATGCCTGGCTGAGTGCTCCTGCTCCGTGCCTCAGCTGGCCTGGCTGTAACGTGGAGCTGAAACACAAGCAGGTTCAAAGGCGAAGACACTGGTCAGGCCCTCCACCCTCGACCAGCGCCTGTGCTCTTCCTGTCCCCACAGTGACCGGTACCTAAGCCTCCGGAGCAGAGCTTGGCACAGAGTGCGGCCACTCCCGGCCTCTCTGCAGGACTCTGAGCCCAAGCAGGGGCCTCAGGTGCATCACGCTCCTGTCCTGGGCCTCGGGTGACTTAGCTGGGACCCAGGTGTCCATGTGGCCTTTCCTCGGCAGGGTGACAGTCCCCACTGGGCTGCAGGTGGGCAGGTGGTGACACTGCCCCAACCTGTGACCTCACCCCCAGGCACCATGGAACCCTGAGGCGTCTGTGAGGTCACACATTCCGCTCCCAGAGATGCCGCAGCCCGTTGAGAGAGACACAGAGCATCAGGGTCTGAGGACACTCCAGGTGCCGACACGGAGGCCAGGACAGGGTGCAGGATCACAGTGGGAGCCAGACACCACACATCCAACACTTCCACGGGCCCACGACGCCCGGCCTGGCACGGGCCCCACCCTGCTGCCAGGCCGCCATGGTCTTCGGCTGGCTGCAGCTGCTGCTGCTGGTGACGGTGCTGCCTCAGGGCACGACGGGCATCAAGGACTGTTTCTTCTGCGAGCTGACCGACTCCATGCGCTGCCCCGGCACCCCCATGCACTGCGGGGACGAGGAGGACTGCTTCACGGGCCGCGGGGTGGCCCAGGGTGTGGGGCCTGTCATCAACAAAGGCTGCGTGCGTGCCCCCAGCTGTGGCCGCGAGGAGCCTGTGAGCTACATGGGCCTCACCTACATCCTCACCACCACCTGCTGCTCCGGCCACCTGTGCAACCACGGCCCAAGCCCCACGGGCCACCCGACGGTGACAGCCACCGCCAGCCTGGTGCTGGGCCTGCTGCTGCTCCCACACCTGCTGTGATCCCAGGCCTGGGACTGGTCTCCCCCCACCTGATCCCTTCCCCCCATTAAATGGCCAGAGGCCCTGGACAACTTCCTGTGGCCCTCGCTTCATCTGTTTGAGGGCCATGCGTCAGGAGCTGCGAGCTCAGAGCGGCGCTGTAGTGTACTTTTTGTCTTTTTGTTTTTCTTTTTGTTTTTGTTTCTGGAGACAGGGTCTCCCTTTGTGGTTCAGGCTGGTCTTGAACTCACTGTGAAGCCTAGGCTGGCCTTGAAATTGCAGCGATTCTCCGATTCTCCTGCCTCGGCCTCCCGAGTGCTGGGATTACAGGCGTACAACATCACGATCAACTGTATTACTGCACTTCGTTGGCTCTAAGAGGCGTATTTTTTCACACTGGGATCAAGATATTTCTTTCCACTGGTGGCACCTTAGAGCTGATGAAATATGGCATGAATGAGCACTGCTTATGTGATGGGCCAGGCACCATGCTCTCTCCGAAACTCCCTTGAGGTTGGGAAGGTGGACACCCTCCACTCCAAGGCACTCTAGGTTAGGTAGCAGAGGTTTTTCTGTGTTTTGTTTCTTTGCAGGCACTAGGGATTGAACCCAGGGCCTTGGTACTGAGCTACATCTCCAGCCCTTTCTACTTTTTGAGTCAGGGTCTTGTTAAATTGCTGAGTTGCCCAAGCTGGGCTCCAACTTGCAACCGTCCTGCCTCAGCCTCCCAGTGTTGGGATTACAGGCGTGCGCCACCACGCCCGGGAGCCAGCGATTCCCCGAGTGGGTCCCTGGGCTGGCAGCATGCACATCAACTAGGAACTTGTCAGAAATGCACGACCTGGGGCCTCTCCCAGGCCAGGAGTAAAGGGACAGAAAATGAAGCTGCAGGAACAGGAAGCCCTCCAGGAGACTCGGAATCACTGAGGCTGACAGCCGCTGCCCTAGGGCCATGGGTCTCAGTGGGGCCCTTCTGGGCCCCAAGGGCACCCACCATGGTTTTTGGTTCTCAGCGAGCCCCTCAACTGTCAGTCCAAACTCGAGTGGCAACTCTGTTAGAAATCTTGTTCTAGGCAGACCGTGTCTCCCTCTTGTGTGGGAGGTGGAGCTAAGGCCCAGAGGGGTGAAGTAAAACCGCCTACAGTCACACACCAAGCAGCTAGAGTTTGAATCCAGGCCACCTGGCCACGGAGGCCACACTCCAGTTTTCCAGATTAGGAATCCCGGGACCAATGCGAGAAAGGCCACCAACAGGGCCAGCGGCAGGGCCCACCCCCCCCCCCAGCACCCAGACACCCCTGGCTCCTACCTGGGCCCACCCTGCCGCAGGATGCCTGTGCCTCTCCAGGGACTGATGCGTTTGGCCGATGGAGAGGCCCAGAAGGGGGCGCTCCCGGTGCTGAGAGCAGTGCAGAGAGCAGGGTCAGGATGCTGGCGGGTGTGTGTGTGTGTGGGGGGTGCGTACCTGTAGGACCCTGAGATGACCCTGTCTCCGTCCAGCAGCACAAACTTCTCCCGAACGTCGCCGCTCACCTGCCGTCGCCAGCGACTCCGGAAAGTGCAGCCCCGCACGACGCGGATGTCCAGGTTCTGGGTGGGGTGCGTCAGGAGTCGCAGGGTTAGCCGACTCAGCGGCCTAGGATGCCGCCCCTCACCCTGTCCCCCGAGTGGCGTGGGCATCGGGACGCCCTGTCCCTCTGTCCTGCCCCTACCTCAGTGGCCCAGGGGTTCACCCGCAGCTGCCCAGCCAGCGCCAGGAAAGCAGGCAGCCGCTGGTGGTCCAGGAGTAGGTACACAGGGATCCAGCGGCGTGTGGCCGCGTCCACCAGGTCCAGAAGCAGGTCTGGGTCAGTGAAGACGTCCATGACCACGGCCACCAGCTGCAGGGCGGAGAGGGGAGGGGAGCATGTGGATGGAGCCCAGCACTCCAGGGGCACTCAGAGGGCAGGGGCCTGGCATCAGCACTCTGGGGGCTGGGGACTGAGGGCCTGGCCTCCATGGGAAGTCAGGGGAACTGAAGGGGGACCCCAGGATGTTGAATGAGGAACGGCAGCCTTTCTAAGGCCTCCCCACCCTGAACTGCTGGAAAACTGCCATAAGAAATATCCGGGACCGGGGATTTAGCCCAGTGGTTTTGCTGCCTGCTGCGCAAGCACGAGGACTGGAGTTTGATCCCGAGTACCAAAATAAAAAAGAAATCACGTCCTAAAGAAAAGGAGGAAAGGGGACAGGTCTTCACTTGTTACAGTCTGACTTTCCCTGTCCAGCGAGGCTCCTCTGCTGCCCCCATCTGCAGTTGTTATCTAAAATGTGGGTGCCTTTGACTGCAACAAAAAGTCAAAAGCCACCTATAGATTTGTCAATCACTAAAGGGTACCCATGAAATATAGATGAATTTTAACTTAACTTTATGATTGTATTTTTTTTTTTTTGGTACCAGGGATCAAACTCGGGTTCTTACGCTTGCAAGGCTGGCAGTGGAACCACTGAGCTAAATCCCCAGCCCCTTATGATTATATTTTTAAATTACATGTTTTAAATGTGTGATGTGTGTGTGGCTATTAAAGATATGTTGTTGGTTTCTGAGCCAGAACTCTCGACAACGCATGTTGACTGCGATCCCCTGGCTGCTGCTGCTCTGCATGTGTAAGTGGAGTGGATCTCAGTCTTTGCCTGGAGTGTGCTGAACGTGGATCAGTCAAACCCTTGAGCACTCAGTTTGGTGAAGATGTCACTATGTACAACAAAGAACTAGTTGAATTAACTATGTGATGTTAAATATTATTAATAAATTTTAACTTTTTTCAAAGTTAAAAAAAAAAGAAATCATGTCCTGCTGGGCTGGGCATGGTGACTCACTCCTGCAATCCCAGCACTTTCAAGGAGGCTGAGGCAGGATTGTCATGAGTTCAAAGCCAACCTGGGCTACATAGTGAGTTCAAATCCAGCCTGAACAGCACAGTGAGACCCTGTCTCAAAAATATTTACAAAGGGGCCAGAGATTTAGCTCAGTGGCACTGTGCCTGCCTCCCAAGCGCAAGGTCCCGAATTTGATCCCCGGTACCAAAAAGAAAATATATTTAAAAAAAGAAAAGAAATCATATCCACATGCTAGGTGTAATGGTGCACACCTATAATCCCATTACTCTGGAGGGTGAGGCAGGAAGATCACTACAAGTCAGCCTGGGCTACATAGTGAGTTCAAGACCAGCCTGAACTACAGAGTGAGACCATGCCAAAAAAAAGAAAAAGAAAAATCATGTCCATAATGGTATACAGTGTCTTCAGGCGGGAACGAATGTCCAGCGCAGCACTGATCCTGGACATCAGTGGCTGGACATCCTCAGAGGACACTGGGTAACTGCACCTCTGTGTCCTCATGAATGGCCTGGTGTGAGGGACAGTAGGACTGACCTACGCCACCAAGGTGTGGTTTAGGGACACCATTGTGCTGAGGGCCAGAACCAAACACCAACTCATCAGCCAGACAGTCCAGGTTCAAATCCCCTCGGGCACTTACACCCCCGTACCTCAGTTTCCTCATCTCAGTGGGCACAAGAACAATCACACTAGGGCTGGGGATTTAGCTCAGTGGCACCGAGCCTGCCTTGAAAGTGCAAGGTCCTGAGTTCAATCCCCATTACCAAAAAAAAGAGAACAATTCCACTTAATGGAGCTCTTGGAAGACCACAGGAAGGACTCGCCACGGGGGCAGGTGACACTGCTACCGAAAGCACAGGCCCTCAGTGGGAAGTGGGGTAGACACCTGTGAGCACGGAGCCCCCAGCTTGGTGACGGTGGGACAGAGAGGTGCCTGAGATTCAGGGAGGGCCATGGTTTAGTTCAAGGGGCACAAATGATGGAGGAGGAACGGTCCTGGGGAGCAGAGTTATGGACATGCAAGTTCCAGAGGCCAAGGGAAACACTGCTGGGGCGGGCAGGTGAGGACATCAGGGCTGAGGGAGGGACCCAGTCCCCGAGACAGTTACCTTGTGGGCAGCCTGGATTTCTCGGCGCACCAGCTCCTTGAGGGGCGGCTGGCCCTCGCTGGGGGGCTGGGTGTACAGCTGTGCCCGGGTGATGCCCTTCCAGGCGGTGTCCTCTGGCCAGCCTAGCCGCAGCAGGGGCACTGGCTCCTCCGACTCCCCAGGCCAGTAGGTCAGGCTGCCTGTGGCCGGGTTGGCGGTGGTGGTGGCAGCTCCTTCTGCAGCCCCACCAGACTCCTGCCTGGCTTCTGTCCAGTCCTCAGCAGCCGTTGCCAAGGTTTGGACCTCATCCTTGCTCAGGAAGGGCCGCAGCCCCTCCTGCCGCACTCGGGCCTGGAAGGCATCCCCGCCCTCACTCAGCAGCACCTCGATGGCCAGCCGTTGGCCCTCGGAATACAGGAAGGCAGGGCTGGCCTCAGTCAGCGGCAGCCCGGGCCCCGCCTCCGCTTCCTCCAGTGCTGCCAGCTGGGAGGCCGCCATCCCGCTGTGCTGCGCTGGGCCGGATCACCCAGGGCCTGGCTGCCCCTGGAGGAGCATTGGGGGCCTCCCGGGCCACCCTGCAGACCTCCCCACGGCTGTCCCTGGCCCACAGCCCCAACAACTCCTCAATGGTTCCCAAGTGACTACCTGCTGTGCCAGGCTGCCCAGGGCAGCACCTAGTGAACCCCAGTGCCTGAGCACCCGCACGTCCCCAACTGCGACCCCTCAGCTAGTCACTCCTGCTCCGCCACAGGACAGCCTCTAGCCTGCTGGCCACAAAATGCCACAAGGGAGCCTTCATCTGTTCCAAATGTCAGTCCGGCCACCTTACTGTCCCTAACTGATGGTACAGGGGCTGCCAGTGTCAGACCCTTGTCTGCCTGTCCCACTGCCTTGCTTCCCCACAATCTCAGGGCACCCACTGGGGGACCCCAACAACCCATCTAAGGCAAAGTCAGCATCTGCAGGCTGCCCTAGCCAAGCTGAACCCACCTGGGCTTCTGCCTGGACCCCACCAGCTCACACCCCTTCTCCCTGGCTGGGGACCACTCTATATTCCGCCTGTGGCCTCCCAAGCCCGAGGCACTGGCCTTCCCACAGGCCACTGCAATGGCCCCACAGAGAAGGTAGAGAACAGAGCCAGGCCTCCCTCCAGCCCCAACAGTCCGGCTGCCTGTGCTGCCATCTCAGGCCTCCCCTCCTCCTCCCATCTCTTGCCTTCTGAGGTTGGAGGCAAGGGGGCTGGAGACCTCCTACTCTTCACCTCTGCACTCTTCCGGGCTCTGCCTCATTCATCAGGCCAAACCGGCGCCCAGGGGACCCACCCCTAGAGTAAACATGGGGAGGGCCCTGCAGGCACCACTGAGGGCACCTGCTCGGGACTGGCCACCTGCCCCGCTTCCTCAACCATTCCCACACCCGTCCACTGCAGCTCCGCCCCTGGGTGTTCTGGCAGAGGGTAAGGGCACAAGGAAGCAGGTGTGGGAACACCTGACACCCAGGAAGGAGGCGGAGCTCAGGCTCTAGGGGGCAGCGGGTCCGACAGGTGCAGTGAGATGATACTGCGCATGCGCACATCCAAGACAGAGGCCAAGAGCGCACTCCAAAGGACAGAAGCGTCCCTTCCCGCAGGCACCAACCTCCCTTTTGTACCATCCCAACCTGTCCCCCAACAACACACTGCGGGTGCCACTGGCATCCAAAATCTTTTTATTCTCAGAGTAAGAGCCTGCATTAGTTCTTGTAGCCTCGGCTGGCCCGTCTGCCTCTGGCGCGCTCGAACTTCCGGCCCTTGGAGCGGACATAAGGTCTGTGGGAAGAGGAGGGTGAGGAGCCGCCTTGCAGTGATCAGCAGGCCCCAAGGCCCCTCCTCACTGTGCTGGGGACTGGGACCCCAACCCCGACCCAACCCCGGGAACCCTACCCGTGCTGGTTGGCAGGAGGGGGGCGGGCCCTGCAGGACGCCCTGGTACTCACTTGGTGTGGCTGTGTGGGGTTCCTGGGGCCTTGCCAAAATGCCGGTACACCTCTCGGCCCTTGCGCGGACCTGGGGACGGGAAGAGGGGGATCAAGCAGGGGCCTGCACCCTCCCTTCAACCCTCACAGGGCTGAGAATTTAGGCCACAAGGTGCGGGTGCACCCCTGAGCAGTTCGTGCCACCCCCCACAGGAGCTACCAAAACCACTTACCAGAGAGCAGGACAGTGCCGTGGCCCTTGGGGGAGTCCAGGGCCAGCTGGTCGAAGGTGAGGATCTTACCCCCGGCCTTGAGGATGCGGCTGCGGGCCCGGCTGCTCACACGCAGGGCACACACCTGGAGCAGACGGGGCAGGAGGGGTCACCACCCCCGACCCCAGCTACCTGCTCAGCCTGACAACCAACACCAGCTCACCCCAGGGCCACCCCCACCCACAGCAGCTGCCTTCCATGCCACAGCCCTGTGTCATTACGTGCAGAAGGTAGAAGACTTTTTTTTTTTTTGGTACCAGGGATCGAACTCAGGTCCTTGCACTTGCGCAGCAGGCGACAAAACCACTGAGCTAAATCCCTGGCCTTTTTTGGTTTTTTAAGACATCTCACTGTGTAGCCCAGGCTGGCCCCAAACTCATGGCGATCCTCTGGCCTCAGCCTTTGCATGCTGGAATTACAGGCATGTATTACCATGCCCAGCTGAGACTTTGACTAAATAGCAAAGAAACCCATGTTTGAGCCCAGGCTGTCTGGCTCAAGAGGCAACACTTTCAACAGGATCCAGAAGGAGCCTCCCAAGGAGCTCCCCCCACCATGAAACAGGACCTCATGCAACCCTAAAAGCCACCTGGACAGGTGAGAGGCCTGTTGTACCCTGATGATGAGGCAGAGACTTAAGTGCCACCAGAGCAGGCCAGGCTCCATGTCAAGTGACACTGTTGTGAGCCCTACCCCACTCACCTTCAGCTTGGGCACCTCCAGAACCCGCACATCATCCGTGACGGTTCCCACGACCACAGCAGTCTTATTTTCCCGGCCAGGAAGCTTCATCTTCCGGATCTTGGAAAGATGCACATCATGAGTCCTTCTGGCATGTAAATCCATCCACCCTCCACCCGCGCTTCATGCATCCGGAGGCCTGGGACCGCTGTGGATTAGCCCACCCAAACCTCCCCTCCCCACAACAACAGGCCTCTAGAAGTCTCCTTCAGGAAAATCTCTCGATGAGAATATTCAGCAACTCTCTCCTGACAGGCCTTTTGTTTTTAGTATTGAGGATTAAACCCCAGGCCCTTTGCACTGAGTGAGCTACACCCCCAGCCCTTTTTGTCTTGCTAAGGGCTGGGCTCCAACATAAGATCCTCCTGCCTCAGCCTCCCAGAGTGCTGTGATTACAGACACACCACACCTAACGGTGGAGTTTTGACTCCTAAAACTCCTTGGTCCTTTGATGCTCATCACAACTATCTCCACCTCATAGTGAGCCAGAAAGGAGGCCAAGAAGCCAAGCCAATTGTCCAGATACTCGACTCCAATAAGGCTCAGAGTCAGCACCTAGGGACGCCCAGGTTGCCATGCCACAGCTGCAGGTCCCGAGGCCAGACACTCACCATTCGGGAAAGGGACAGAGGTGGCCGATTGGTGCGACTCATGAACAACCTCTTCAGCACAACCTGGTTGAAGGTGGAGTTTGTTCTTCTGGCCAGAAACCTGTACAGCTGAGAGAGAAAGGGAAGACTGAGACCACAGGACAGGGACAAACAAACACTTTAGGCTAGAAAGGTTCTGATGGCTTTTCCCATTCCCTGGAGCCTGGGGAAATGCAGATCCTGGTCCTTCCTAACTGGGGACCCAGAAAATCTCCTCCCTCCCAACATGCTTCTGACCAGCAGCTCAAAACACTAAAGTTCAGGGATCCTGCAGAAGGAACACCTGGATGGCTCTGCCCCAAGATTCCAGGTCCCAACTTCACCTTGACCAACAGCCTCAGGTAGATGTCCTGGCTCTTGGGTTCCTTGCGACGGACCTTTCGGTCTTTGTTGTGGCGGATGTCAACTCCCTGTAGGGGTGGAGAGGAAACCAGGGTTCCAACTCTGAATCTGGTCAATTATGCCATGAATGTTCTGATGATTACTTATCTCCCAGATAGACCAGACCCCCTGGCGAGACTGCTCACACCCCAGGCCCACCACCCACCACTCTTCAAAGGAAGCTAATGCAAACTACAAAGCCATCAGCACCTGAAACATCTTAGCTCGGTAGACACGTTATTCTTAAAGTTTTAAATTCCCAAGTTGTATCTTCGCAAGAACATTGCCCTTACGTATATTACCAAAACTGGCTCCTACCAAAAGGATAACCAGAAATAAATTAACAGTAAACTCTCAGTAACAATGACAACAAACTTTTATTTGAGATAATACATGAAGGAGTCTGGGTCGTTGTCCCCACTTGAAACTAAGAACACTGAGGAAAGCCCACCATTTGCACCACACCTCCTTTCTACTCTTCGGAATAACCAGTGTTTGAGACTATTATATTAACTCTACGTAAGCTCTCATTTGCTTAACACTTAAATCCTTCTGATGAGAAGTGCCTATGAATTATTTCCTTACGAACTCACAAACCTTTCAGATGGGACTAGTATGTTCCTAAGGAAAAGATAAAGGAACTGTGGCCGTGGCCCAGGCCCAGGGAGCGACATCACGGGGTGGGCAAAGGCTGCAACTGGAACGGAGGCCCGCTTGGGTACAGTTGAGTACCTGACTCTACTCCCTTCGCAATTCAATTTTCCAAACTAAGGAGTGACAGGTCCAGGTAAAAAGCAGTTAAGTCAACTGGTTCAAGGTGGCTACAGCTACAGCCACAGAGAGCTGGATTCCAGCTCCGCCACTTCTTAGCTGTCCCTCCCTATACCTCAGTTTGGTCGTCTGCTCAATGGAGACAACAGGAATACGAGACTGTGACCCACGCCCGGTCTCTAGTGTGGCCCCAGAGTAGCATCCTCGCCTCAGAAATCGCTTCCTTCAAACACCGGCGAAACCCCTGCACCCCTCCGGCACGCCCCCAGCCCGGGACCGCCGAGGATGGCGGTGGATGATCAAGCCTTGAATATCCCAAGCCGCGCTCACCATGATGGCGACTCCCGTTCAGTTAAACCCGGAAAGAGAGAGCCCGGCCGGAGTGGGCGGGGAAAGTCTCCGGCGCGCGGCGCCCTAATGACGCCTACGTGCGCGATGCGACGCTCTACCACAATCCGGCCTTCTCTATGGTGAGTTGGATGACTGGCTCGAAGCGGGACAAAAAAAATAGGGCGGAGGAATAACCAAAGAGAAACAAGCGCCTCGTGCAGGAAGGAAGGGCCAGCACGTCGGGGAGCCTTTCTAGCCCTTTCCGGGAGCTGTTCTTTATATTCTTCCGGAAAAAAGAAAACTGGAAGCCCGAGAGATGCGTGGAGCTAGGAAGAGACGTTGCGCGGTGACGCTCTGGGCTGACGCCGAGGGCCTCTCAGTGACTTCGAAAGACTTGGTGGACCGGGCTGTGGTGGTGAGGAGCCGGGGCTGGCGGCTCTAGTCCTCTCCGGGCTGCTCACGTTTGCTTAGATTCACGGTGTGCCTTCTTTCGCTCTGAACTCCCAGGCGCAGCCGAAGCTCGGAAGTTCTGCTAGATATCGAACCCGAGATCACTTTGGTGGAGCTCAATCTAGAGCACCCTATGTATCTATCTTTTTGGTTTAGCCTCCACCCTTCCCTAGGTGGCCCTTCCCTGACCACCTGCTCAGCCTCTCCCGCCAGGGAGGGGTTGCTTTTCTCTCCACCAGAAAGGTTCAGCTGGCCCAGCGGTTTCGATGTGAGGGAGGTACAAGGTACTGGGGTCCAAGGATCGAGCCCCGAGGGCTGGGGTTGAGGGGTGGGATGGGCAGGGAAGGTAGGTGACAAGCTCCTGAAAGAGAGAGACCCTGAGATAGAAATTCAGAGGCGAGGAAGAATGGAGACTCCGTGGGAGGGGGGATGGAGACCAAGGGGTAAGAGGGAAAGATAAGGGGATGGAGGCCCAGAGAGAGGTAGAGACATAGAAAAATGGTCAGATGGGATCTGGCTAGGCTGTACCCAAATTCAGATCCTCACTCTCCTACTTAGTGGTGTGACCTTGGGCAAGTCACTCTCTGTGCTGTACTTTTCCATATTTAGAGAAAGGGAATGATAATAGGTCTTACAGATGGGATGTTTTCCAGAATTATATAGGTTAATAAAATTCCTTTGAGTCCATGTGTTTGCATGAAAGTGCTCAATAACAATTTACCTTATTGTATCTTTTTGACAGAATCAGATTGACTGGTTGAGGCAGTAACCAAATGGCCTCATTCCTCTCTCCTCCACAGAGCCTAAGCCAGGCTTGCACAGTGAGACCTGACTCCGTGTACAGTCCAGAGCACCATCCTATGGCCTCAGACCCAGGGCCAAGGTCTGTTGATGTAACAGGACAGAGGGCCAGTGATGAACCAACACCTTGAATCAGAGGAGCAGTGGAACCAGGTAAAGATCCCTATTCTGTGGGACTGCATCAGCCAACATCCTTCCATCACTGGTCTTGAACCTCCTCTCCAGGCTTGAGTGAATAGCTTTCTCCCCGTTTTCCAGACAGGGCAGGTGTGGCCAAGAATTCAGTAGCTCCCTAGAATCACACAGCAAATCCATGTGAGCTGGAGGCCCCCTTCTCCTTTTCTTCCTCCATCTGCTTCCCTTCCATGTTCCCTTTTCTCTAATTTGATGACTCGAGAAATCTCAGCTACTTTGGTCAGGGCTTTCTTTGTTCCAGAGCTCTGAGCTCAGTTGCTCTGTTCCCTTGCGTCAATCTTCCTGGGATTCTCTCTTAGCACTTACTCTGCTTGAGCTGCTACTGTGGGATGGATTCGTGATATATTTGTTTGGCAATAAATGAACTGTTTTCTCTTTATGTTGTTTTTGTGCGTGTGTGTAGTAGAAGGGATCAAACCCAGGTGCACTCTACCAGTGACTACATCCCCAGTGGTTTTTTTGTTTGTTTGAGACAAGGTCTCTTTAAGCTGGCCCAGGCTGGCCTTGAACTTGTGATCCTCCTGCCTTAGCTTCCCAAGTACAATAGCTAGGATCACAGGCATGTGCCACCACCCCTGGCTTTACTTGTCCGGCTTGACCCTGTCCCATTCTGCATATGTCTCTCTTCAGTTCTGCCTGATCTTAGATCTTTGCCCCGTCTTTGCCTTGATGAGTCTCTTGTATCAACAGTCTCCCCCTTTCATCTCTCTCACTTTCAGTTCCTCTCAGCTTCTGGGCTTCAAACATTCTTTCTCTCCCTCACCCCTGGCCCAGAGGGTTCCCCTTTTGTGTCTGTCCTGTTATGTGACTAGTCATTTCCTGGCCAGATGTTTATCTCACGCTGCTTCCACTCTGGTTAGAATCCAAAGTAAATAGTGAATTAATGAACCTGTTGGCAATGTTCATTCCAGAAGTGCCTATCTTGGTATGTCTCTGTCATTTTCGGGAATTTCTTGTGCCCTTACCTTCCATTTTATCAACCGCACTGTTTTTTGTCTCTTTATATCTCTGCTTTTTCTCTGTGCCTGGGTCTGTCTGACTCTGTAACTGTGAAAGACAACCCCCCTTCTTGCTCCCGTTACCCTGCCCTAACTCGATAATTACCTATCTCTGACTCTGTTCCTCTGGGTCTCTGTTTTGCTTTTTGTCTAAGTCTATTACAAACTCCTGTTGCATATCTCTGGGCCCCTGGTGGCTGTTAGGGTCTCTATCTCTCCAGCTAAAGACCTCCTACTCCACGCCTCTTTTCTTTTATAAAGTGAAGGGATGGGCCAGGCCCACTTGCCCTCAACGAAGAAGGCGGCACCAACGTTGTCTGCAGGGGTGTGACGCCGGTGCCCTCACTTACAATGGCGGCTGGCCTCCAGAAGCGCCACGCACCGCCCAGTTGTGGCGCTTCCCTGTAGGGTAGTGGGACCCTGCGAACTCGCAAGTCGTCTGGCCCCGCCTCCGCACGCTCTCATTGGTGCGGTACAGGCCGGCCACATGGCCATTGGCTAAGCAGATGCACACCCTCCCCCCACCCCTAGGTCTGATTAGGGGCGGTCGTGCGGATTAGAGGGGCCGCCCGGAGGAGGACCTGGTGTGTGAGGAAGGTGTGAGGGTCCGGGCAGGGTCCAGAGAGAGAGAGTGTGTGTGTGTGTTGAGAGGGGACAGACCTGAAACTGGGGTGGTGGGGTGGGAGGTTGAAATGGAAAATCAGGGCCACAACTGAGGTATCCAGGAACGGAGGCCCAGGCCCGGAAGTGGAGTAGAGATGGAGGCCCAGGGACCGAGACTTGCGCTGTGGTTTGGCAGTTTGTGAGTGGAAGGCCAGGCCCAAGGTTTGGGTACCAGGGGACAGAACCCCAGGCCCAGGAATGGAGGCTGTCTAGGGCTCTGTGCCTGAGCCTGATTTGAGGTTCTCATAGGGGGCCATTGCCGGTGTGGAGGTGGGGCAGACACCCTGGGCCTGGGGGAGCCGTCCAGGGCGGGGTTGGAGTGTTGAGCAGCAGAGGCAGCTCGAGGGTAGGGCGAGCCCACGGATAGGGGTGTGTCTGGGTCTGCTGTGGCCTGAGGAAGGTGAGCAGCTGGACAGGACTGGCGGGAGGCTGGGCGGGTCTAGGGAGGACAAAGGTGAGCTGGAGGAGGGGGTTGGCGGCAGCTGGGCAGCCGGGCGGAAGGGCCTGTGGGGAAAGGACCTTGGTTCTGGCTCCAGCTTTTCCCTGGAGAGCAGGCAGCAGACACCCAGGTCAGTACTCAATTCACACAAGTTCTCAGCCCCTGCCCCTTTTCAGCACTTGCATGTAGCTCCCCTCTGACCCCTCGGTTTCCGTATCACATCCGTGGCTCGAGCCTCTCCTGTCTGCCCTCCTAAGCATCTGTTCCCTTTCTTTCTGGGGTGAGAAACTCTGTCTTTTGTCAGCCTCGTTTCATCTCACTGAAGCAGGTTGTCTCCTCCCAGTATTCCTCTGGTCTCCTTTCTCTCTGTGCCTGTGTCCCACTGATACTACTCTCTCCACTTGCAGATGACTCAGTGTGCATGTGGGGGTTGCCTTCCCCATCTCTGCCTATTTCTGGTTTTGTCTCCACTCTGATTCTCTCCTGTGCTTTATTTTTCCTCAAAGCCCTATCACCACCCGACACATTAGATATTTTACTGTCTGATGTTGTCTTCCTGCCTTCTGACTAGAATGTAAACCCTCTGAAGGCAAGGATTTTTGTCAGTCCTCTGCTGTGTTGGCTGTGTCCACCATGACTGGCACACAAAGGGTCCTGAGTAACTGTGGAGAGAAATGAATGACTGTTTGCATGTCCAGGTCCTTCAGGCGCAGCCGCCTGTGTCCTCCAGGCCTCCTCACCTGCCCGAGCCCGTGTGTCTCTGGCAGTCCTTTTCCCTCTGCCATTGCCCCACTGTTCTCTCCACATCCCTCCCCCTCCTTCCATCTCCCAATCTCCCGTAAGGGCCCTGGACTCTGACCCTCCCCTCCTCCCTCTCCACAGAGACCGGAGCAGCAGGTCACCAGGAGTTGGGGCCACAGGCCTAGGAGAGCCCTGGATAGGGCTGAGGCCATGGCCCCCCCACCAGCAACACTGGCTGCCAGCACCCCGCTCCTGCATGGCGAATTTGGCTCCTACCCAGCCCGAGGCTCACGATTTGCCCTCACCCTCACATCACAGGCCCTGCACATACAGCGGCTGCTCCCAAAGCCCGAAGCCCGGCCCCGGGATGGCCTGGTCCCCCTGTCTGTGATCTCAGGCTGCTGCACCCTGCGAAGCCACAGCCCCTCAGACTCGGCAGCCTACTTATGCATCTATACCTACCTGTGGGGCCGTCGAGGCCGCCGCAGAGCCGCCCGCACCTTTCAGGCCGATGGGGCTGCAACCTATGAGGAGAACCGTGCGGAGGCCCAGCGCTGGGTCACTGCCCTCATGAGTCTGCTCCGAGGATTGCCCCTGCCTGGGGAAGGGGGTGAGGCCAGCAGCTGCTCTGTCCTGGAGACAGACCTCCCTCTGGGCATTGCTGTGTGGGTGTGTGTGCTGTCTCTCTGGGCCTCTGTCGAAAGAGCAGGACACAGACAGGGCTGAGCTACAGAAGGAACAAAAACACAGGCAGAGAGAAAGGAACTGTCGGCTGCTCTCTGGCTAGAGGCTGTGTCTGTCCCCGCCCCCTCCCCAGTCTTGACCAGACAGATGAGTCAGAGGCTCCCTGGCACTGACAGCAGGAGACAAGACAGGAACAGTCACCACCCCCGTGACAGGTGCCAACACAGATATCTGGAGTGCCTGGGGAGCCCAGAAATGGCATCTAATACCTCGTGTAGAGGGTCAGAGAAGGCTTTTGGGTGGAGGCTCCCCATCTGGTGAGCTTTCCTTAGGCCTCTGGGGTCTTGCTGGCTGCCTGGGGCTCACTGACAGTGAAGGAACTTGATCCTGGGTAACAGGTGTTCCTTTGTCTTTATCGTGCTTATGGGTCCAAAGGGCACTTGGTGTCACACCAGCCCTGGCTTTGTCCCGGCACTCCCAGCTCCTGCCTAGCCCCATGGGGGCTGTTTGAAGGGACCATTTCCAGGCTGAGGGGCCTGGATCTCCGGCCTCTGCAGACCCTGCCCTCTCTCTGCAGAGATCAGCCCTGAGCTCCTGCCACGGCCACCCCGGTTGCTACTCTTGGTCAATCCCTTTGGGGGACGGGGCCAGGCCTGGCAGTGGTGTGAAAACCATGTGCTGCCCATGATTTCCGAAGCTGGGCTGTCCTTCAACCTCATTCAGACAGGTATGGGCAAGGCCACGGGAGCGGGGGGTCTGGCCAGGACTTTTCAGTCCAGGGAGGAGGGTGTGGCAGGCAAGGAGACAGCTGCCTAACCTGCTGCTTTGCCCCATTAGAGAGACATAACCATGCCCGAGAGCTGGTCCAGGGGCTGAGCCTGAGTGAGTGGGATGGCATCGTCACCCTCTCAGGAGACGGGCTGTTCTGTGAGGTAGAATGGAGCTCCTGCCCTTAACCCTGAGCCCTGGGGGCCAGAGAGGTGGGAGCTGAGCCCTGAGCAGCTGGTCTCCTGCCCAGGTGCTGAACGGACTCCTGGATCGCCCAGACTGGGAGCAGGCAGTGAAGATGCCCCTGGGGATTCTCCCCTGTGGCTCGGGCAACGCACTGGCTGGAGCCGTGAACAGGCATGGGGGGTAGGTTGGTTGCTCCTGTTGGGGAGGATGAGGGTGGGGGACTGAGACCTCCTGGGGGAATAGGGACCCCATGTCTCCCTGTCAGCTAAACCTACTGTTAGTCCGGAAATCAGATGGCTGTGGGATGCTGCACTGCCAGCTCTGGGCACTGTGGCCAGTCTCATTCTCAGCACTGCCCCAGCAGCTAGAACTTTCTGGCACGCAGACATGCAGCATCTGGACATAGCCACTTGGCTGCACTGGCTGCTGGGACATGGTGTCGCTGGGTTCTGTGCTATCTGCTACCCCATCTTTCTCTGCCTGTGCTCCGAGTCTCACCCAGCCCCATTTGTTCTTTCCCACCATGGCCATCCATCCCGGCCATGAAGGTTTGCACCAGCGCTGGGCCTGGACCTGCTGCTCAACTGCTCCCTGCTGCTCTGCCGTGGTGGCAGCCATCCACTGGACCTGCTCTCTGTGACGCTGGCCTCAGGCTCCCGCTGTTTCTCCTTCCTGTCTGTGGCCTGGGGCTTTGTGTCAGATGTGGACATCCAGAGTGAGCGCTTCAGAGCCCTAGGCAGAGCCCGATTCACCCTGGGCACAGTGCTGGGCCTTGCCACATTGCGCACCTACCATGGACGCCTCTCCTACCTCCCTGCTGCTGTGGAGTCAGCCTCACCTGGTCCTGCCAACGGCCTGCCCCGGGCCAAGTCAGAGCTGGCCCTGGCCCCAGCTCCAGCCCCGCCCACAGACCACTCCCCTTTGCATCGCTCAGTGTCTGACCTGCCCCTGCCCTTGCCTCAGCCTGCCTTGACCTCCCCTGGCTCACCTGATCCCTTACCTGTGCTGTCCTTCAACGGTGGGGCCCCAGAGCTGGCTGGGGACTGGGGTGGCACTGGGGAAGCTCCACTGTCCCCAGACCCACTCCTGCCCTCGCCCTCTGGCTCCCCCAAGGCAGCTCCACTCTCTCCCATCACAGAAGGGCCCCCAGAAATGCCTGCAGCCTCTGGGTTTCCACCCCACACCACCGCTGCACCAGTAGCCTCTGCCGGGGGCCCACAGGACCACTTGTTACCTCCATTGGGCACCCCGCTGCCCCCAGGCTGGGTGACAGTGGAGGGAGACTTTGTGCTGGTGTTGGCGCTCTCTCCCAGCCACCTGGGTGCCGATCTGCTGGCGGTTCCCCACGCAAGCTTTGACGACGGCGTGGTACACCTGCTGTGGGTGAGGGCAGGAATCTCGAGGGCCATGCTGCTGCGCCTATTCCTGGCCATGGAGCGGGGGAGCCATTTCAATTTGGGCTGCCCGCATGTCGGCTATGCCCCGGCCCGTGCGTTCCGCCTGGAGCCACTCACGCCCCGAGGCATGCTCACAGTGGACGGGGAGCTGGTGGAGTATGGGCCGCTGCAAGGGCAGATACACCCAGGCCTCGGTACGCTGCTCACAGGGCCTCCTGGCCACACCGGGCAGGGACCCTGAACCTGTGGGGAATGCGGCAGGGACAGGACTTGGGCTACACGGTGTGGCCTGGCTGCTAGAGTTGGGGCGGCGCCCCCCCCCCCAAGTGCAAGGGTCCGGTACCCCACCACCTGGGAACCGGAAGTGATCCTGGAGGGTGGCCTGAGTTCCAGACTCGTCCTCTCCGCAGTGCCTGACCGGGGAAGGCTGAGTTTGGACTGTGCTCCCTGGTGGGACTCCAAGTCACCCCTCCCCTCCCCTCCAGCTCACAGCGGGTCGGGGAGGCTGAGGGCGGAGCCTGGCTCACATCACCGAATGACAGGACCTGGAGTGCAGGAGCTGGGGGAGACCTTAGCTAATTGGCCAGGCAGGACCGGGTCTCGCCCTATCCACTCCAATACCTCCACCTAGCTGGCCAATCAACCCAAGAGGGGCGGGTCCCCGGCGGCCCTCGCTCCGATTTGCACTAATCTCCCTCCCTCAAGGAGGGGGGGGGGATTCACTCCGGTGTCCTGTGTGTCCACCGTCCCCAATCTAAAAAGCAATTGAAAAGGTCTATGCAATAAAGGCAGTCGCTACATTCCTAGACCTTTGGCCCTTCCTCCATCTGACAGCCCCCGCGACTAGACCGTTCCAGCAGCTTCTGGCTTTTGCCGATAGCCACCAGGTCTGCCCGCCGGCTGCAGCCAGTGTGACCTGCTGGCCTGTCTTGTCCCCCACAACAGCTGGCTCTGGGGTTCTCAAGATTTATTCAGGATCATGTTAATGGAGGCGGTGGGAGTAAGGGGTCCCCGACGTGTCCGGAGCACACACGGGACCCTCCCCGCCCCCGCATGGGAGGGGGGAGGCTCTCTTTTTCTTAAAAATATAAATGTATTTATCTGCATCATCACGTCCCTGGGGCACCCAGCTGGCCAGCCTGTGGGCCACAGGGCGGGGAGGGAAAAGGCGTCAGGGCACAAGTCTGAGCAAGGAGGAGGAGGAGAAAGGAGGGCTCTCACAGGGCCCCATGCTGGGCCTGGTAGCGAGACAACACGGCCCGGTAGTGAGACAGCTCCTGCCGCACCGCCACCACCTCCTGCCGCAGCAGGGCATTCTCCTTTTCCAGGAAGGCCGCCCGCACCGTTATCTGGTTCTCCTTGAGCCTCCGGGCATCGCGAGACCGCTTGGCTGCTTCATTGTTCTTGTACCGCCGGCTCCAATACTTCTCGTCCTGGGGGCAGAAGGGCAGGAGGGCACTGAGGTTCAGCGAGAGGAAGGAAGGAGCAGATTCTAAGATACCACGCGCACACACTGTTCTTGCTTAGCAGGGGGGATCAAGGGTACTCATCCCAGCAGAGATGAGTACCCAAGAGCCTGCCCTTCTGGGGCTCCTTAACAAAAGCTAAGGTGTGAGGTAAGACTCCCACCTCCAGGCAACTCGGTTTCAAATCTCCAAAGTGCAAAGCAGACCCCAGCCCTCCCCACTAAACAAAAGGCCCTGTAGTTAGTCCTTGCTTGCTAAGGAAGCCTGTTCCCTAGCAACACAGCCTTGGGTCTGAGAGCTCATCCCAATGAAGAGCACTGCCCTATATGTCACCTTTCCAGATTCTGGTTGCTAAGGAAAGCTTAGGCCCCCTAGTGATGGAGTTTGGTGTCTCATAAAATCCTTCCAGAGCTGGGCCTCTGCTGACCTGGTTGCCAAGGCAACCTCATCCTGCCTCAGCAAACAAAAGTGAGATCTAAGTGGTCCCAATGATCCTGGGCAGTCTCTGATCTGCTGGCCCTGAAGTGAGGCCAGGGAGCTGCCTCTTTCCTGACAGGAAAAGAGGACTGTATCTGGTTGATACAAGAGTCCATCCTTAGCAGAGGGACCCATCCGGAGATCTCCCTAGAGGGTTATACCTAGGGTCCTCCAATCCTAATATTTCTTGTTGTCAATGAAAGATGACTCCTTGGTAACAAGGACTACTCAGCTCAGAAAGATGTTTCCCTTTGCCCCATTTAGTTAAACCCTAATTCCTGATTTGTGGGGCATATCCAGTTCCTAGCAACCTGGCCCTGCAGCAGGAGAAATCTCTGATCTATACCGAGCTGCTAGGCAGGTCCTAGGTGCTGCAAATAGCCATGGCAAAGACTTGTGAGAGAAGCCCAGGTACCTCCTGATAGCAGAGACCCCAGATCAGCACAACCAGAATGCCCAAGCCTCCTAAAATCAGAAGGTGGCCCCAGCTGCTACTGGGAGTCTCAGGCATCTCACCAGTGAGAAGTCCAAGCCCGAGGAAAAAACTTGCAAACCCTGGCAAAGTATGCATCCTAGACAGAAGCAGTCAGTCTGACAGACACCCCAAACTTGAGTTCAAAGGCTCAGCCCCAGCCTGGCTGGCTGCTATGAGAGACAGGCTATCCCTGGCAACTGGGCCTCCTAGAATTTGAACCCTGCTCTGCTGAGGATTATGGGTCCATGTGATCAACCAGACCTGGCATGGCTGGCTGAGTCTATACCCAACAGTGACGTTCTTTGTAAATCTTAGGCCAAAGCCCCTTCCCTCCAGTGCCCCTGGGCCAAGGACTCATCTTTGGCTGCAGGCTGGGAGACCCTAAGAGCTCATGCCAAGTGACAACCCCAGGGCATCCTTGGCACTGGGTGTGACCTGGCCGTGCCTGTGCTGCATGCAGTGGTGCTCACCTTCTGCTCCTCTGGCACCTGGATTTTCCTCGCCTTCTTCATGATTGGCTGGGGCTTAAGTTCCTCCTCTGAGAAGCGGTGTCTCCGAGGGTCAAAGGTCTCATGGCCTGGAATGCTTGACAGGGCAAGATCAGCTGGGTCGGGTTCAAAGGTCATCAGCACCTCCACTGTGTCTGGGTCCACAGGACTGGGTGTGTCCCGAGGGGTCAGGCCTTGGGGAAACACAGTGCGTCACAGGAGGCATATTTGTTGGGCAGCAGGTTCGCAGAGGCTACCCCTGCTCGGGTAAATTATCTAGCACACAGAAGGCCCATGTGGAGTCTAACGTAGAGCCTGCCTACCAGGCATCAACCTCTGTAACATAAGATAGTTTCTCCAGGCTACAAGGATGCTTAGGTATCACCAGGCAACCCAATTTCTAGGCAGGGAAAGTGACATCTGGCCATAATTGACTGGCCCTGAGTAACATGAGAGTCATGTAGTAGCTTCTAAAACTTCAAGACTAGCCAGGTGAGGTGGGACACGCCTGTAATCCAGCCCTGAGCAGGCTGAGGCAGGAAGATTGCAATTTGAGACCAACTAGGGCTATGGAGTGAGTTCCAGGCTAGCCTGGACTACTTAGGGAGATGCTATCTCAAAAAAACCCGAAATGAAATGAAATGAAACTTCAAGCCGGGTGTGGTGGCAACAGAGTTATCCCAGGACTTGGGAGTCTGCGGCAGGAGGATCGCCACAATGTGGATGCCAGCGTGGGCTACATAATGAAACCCTGTCTCAAAACAATGAAAATTAAATAAAACTTCAGGCCTTCAGATTCACAGTGGTCTTTCTCTTCCCACGATCTACCTTGAATCCTATTTCCTGAATCCCTGACCAAAGCTTAGACTCCAGGCTGTTCAAAGAAGAGGACTGAAAATTAAATGACTCTAAGAGCTCTTCGATTGGAAGGTAGGGTAGAGAAATGGAAAGGGCTCAGAGTTTCCAGAAGGTTGGTTCGAGGAGGTGTATATGCCTTTAAATGCAAGCAAGCCGGGGCCAGCTGAGGACACAGGTCCCGGCCGAGTCACGTGCCACCGGCTGCTTCCTTCTGCCCCTCCCCCGACTCACGTTCCCAGCCCCGCCCCCTCGCGCGTGACAGCGAGAAGCTCAGAGGAGGGAGGGAGGACTCACGTGGCGCGGAGTGTGCGGTTGGGAAACGGGAGGACTCCGATTCTGCCTAGAGGTCAAGCCTGGGGCAGGTGCACCCAGCAAGCCCAGGCCTGTGGTCACCCCCTGGAGACCCCAGTGTCCCCGAATGGGGTCACCTTTCCTCCTGCTTGGGATCTCAATGCCTGCCTCTGATTGCAAGGATCTCGGGCCTCTGAGCTGAGACTCATCAGAGAACACCCTCCCCCACGATTCTGGGGGAGAGAACTGAGAGAGCTCGGGGAGGATCCAGAATCCAGCAGGATTCCGGAGCTAGGGGCTGCGGCACCCGTACTAGGGGGCCCAGGAACCTAGACCTCCAGTCGCTGTCCTGGCAACACAGAACTCTGTGCCCCGTCTTCTCCCACTTCAGAGGTGCTAGGAGTTAGGGTCCCAGCCCAGTTCCACTGATTCTGGGCTCAGATTCGGGGCCCATCCACTTCTCAGTAAATAACTTCATGTTCCGAGCCTCCTGTCCCGGCTCCAGGAATGCCTGGACCCTCTGTCTCCGCTTCCCACGGACAATTCCAAAATCTCTTTGGGCAGGAGTCCTGGAATTCGGAGTCCAGGGTCTCTCCCTCCATGAGGATTCAGGAGGCTCAGTCTCTAACCCGCTAGAAAGCTCAGAATCCGGACCTGTTTCCATGAGAAGTCAGGACTCGGCCCATGGCCAGGGTCCCACGGTCCGACTAGCAGTGCCGCAAGCCCCGCCCCTCGGGGAGCGCCCTGTCCCTGCGTCGCACCTGCGCGGTGGCCGCCGGCGGCCCCCAGGGCGGGCCGGGCGGGGGCGTGCCCGGGCGAGGAGCGCGGGGAGGCCGAGCCGCAGGAGCCGGGCCCGGGCGAGGGCGCAGGCGTGCGCGTGGGCGAGGGCGCAGGCGACGAGCCGCCCGGGGGCGGCGGGCTGGGTGGGAGCCCGTGCTCCAGCAGGAAGGCGTCCAGGTCCACGTACTCCACGTCGCCGAAAGGCAGCGTACGCTCCCACAGCAGCGGCGCCAACAGACTCGGGCCAGGCACGGCGCCCAGGCGTCCCCGAGGGGACCCGCTGCCTCCCACCGCCCCAGCGGGGGCATCTGCCGGGCCCGGCGTCTCCAGGCCCGGCCCCGGGACCGTGGGTGCGGGCGGAGCCGCCTTGCGCTCCTTTTCCTTCAGGAGACCTACAGGCCAGGGAAACGGGCGGGGTGGAGATGAGGTGTGGGAGAAGGGAACCCCGAGTTAGAGAGGAGGTGTAGACACGGCGGCGATCCAGAGAGGAGGCGAGGGAGGACAAGGACCCAAAGAGAGAGGAGGGGACAGAGATACAGAGGGTGAGAGACCCAGAGAGAGGAAAGGACGGAGACACGGAGAGATGAGGACAGCGGCCCAGAGAAAGAGGAGCGGAAGTTGAGAAAGAGGGGAGCCGGGACAGGGTAGGTGAGGGGTTGGGGAGGTGAGAGAAAAAAATGACAGCTCTGTGACTGCTGCGATCCCCTCACCCCGCGCGCTGCCCCCCCCCCCGAAAGTGGCAGGAAGGGGCTCGGCTCCTCGGGCACATTCCTCATCCCCGGGTGCCATGTGACCCCGCGAGGCCCCGCCCAAGCCCGTGTCACCACCTTGTGAGCCTCCGACACACCCCCTCCCTTCTCCCCGGACCCAGGGGTCCAGACTATCAAGCCACAAGGAGGAGGGGGCCGGGGTCTCTGAGACTCCTGGGTGCTCAGACTGCGAGCCCGCACTGTGTACCCTGGACGCTGCGGGGTCGAGGGACCTAACTATCTGGGCGACTGAGGACAGGCTGGAGAAGACGGACCCCAGCACACGAGCGGTGTCTGTCCACCCCACCCGCGGCACCTGGGTCCCTCCAGGAGTAGGGCTGAACTCACAGCTGGCCGGCTCTCTGGGCTTGCTGGTCCCTTGCAGGAGGCTCCGCAGCCCGAGCAGCGCTCCCCCGCCAGGCGGGGCCCCGGCAGGGCTGCCCAGCAGCAGGGGAGCCGGAGTCCTGTCGCTCAGAGGCCGCGCCATCGCCGGGCACCTGGCCCCAGGTTCATGGGCTCATGGAGAGGCGAAGGGCTGGCTCGCCAGGCACCGGCACGCTCCTGAGGCTCGGGCGAGTGTCTGCCCAGGGTCGGGCGCGCGTAGCTTGCAAGGCTCCAGTATCCAGAACGCTGCAAATCCTAGGAGCGCCAGGGATTTGCGCTCTTTCGTGCAGAAACATGCGAGTCAAGAGGGTCCCGGGAGGTCATACAGTCTGGGCGAGTGGGTGACTAAATCAGGCGGCCGTTTCTTTGTAACAGGGTGCAAGGGGACACAGGCGCTCCTTCTTACAAGGTGGGCGAGCCTGGCTCTTGCAAAAATCGCAGCTCTGGAAACAGAAGGCGCTTTGCAATCAGCACCCGAGAGGTGTGCGCCGAGGGGCGGAGGAGGGGACAGGAGGAGGCGGCCGCTTTGAGGCGTGGCCAAAGCAAACTTCTTTCGCGGAAAAAAAAATGCAAACCAAAACACCCGACACCACAGCCCGCGCCCCTCCTCCCGGCCCTCGTCCGCCCAGGCCCTGCACCGCCCTCCTTCTTGGCCTTGCACCCCTGCCGCGTGCCTCCCTCCGGCTACTGGCACTGACCAATTGTGTCGGACCTCTTGAGAAGTCCAGCCAATGGAGTTCCGAGAACTGCCAAGCCCGGGAGGGCTTGTGAGGGGCTGAGCGCGTGAAGTTGTCTAGCCTTTTGGAAGGAGGCGGGACACTGACCTACATTTGCCCAATGAGAGGCAGCGCTGGGGGGCGGGACCGTGACCCAATTGTGACCAATGAGGCAGACGGAAGAGACAAGCACATGGCTCTGCGCGTGCTGCCTGATTGGGGTGGGGGAGGAGAGGTGGTTCTTAAAGGAGCACTTATCCAAATAATTGTTTTAGCAATGATTGTAGTAGAAAGCAAAAAGCCAGAATACCAAGTGGCTGAGGCCTAGGAAGAGGAAGGCTGGTTTCGGGAAGAAAGCTCTTCTTTGATACCCAAATATTTCCCCGTCGAGCCTTAGAATCAGACCACCGAGAAACAGGAAGTATTCTGTCTCTTTAATAGCTTTGTTTTGGGGTGATTCCCCTCCCCTTGTAGACAGGATTGGGATGGGCTACGGCATCCTCGATGGGGAACCTCAGCGACCCTGGGGGGCACCATCCACTGCAAGAGAAGACGCCGGCTAGGAGCGATGGTCTAGGGTGGGCGGTGCAGGGGACTTGCAGGAGGGGGCGGTATCCAGGGCCCTATCTCGGGGGAGGGGGGGCTGCGAGGGGGAGCCAGGACAGACCAAGTTGAGAAGCCGGGGGGGAATGGTCAGCTGGATCAAACCGTTGAGGGGACAGCAGGAAGGTGGAATAGGGACGTCCCAATCGGCATTAAGCTAAACTACGTGAAGATATTCACGGGGAATGGGGCTCTGGGGCTTACCACATTGAGTCCTTAGCTCTCTGAGCTGAACCACGGGAGGTGGTAGAAAGGGAAAGGGGTCGTACCATTTGGATTCTCAATAAGGGGAGCTGTCAGACCGTGGGACGCTATAGGATCGTACCATGGAAACAAGGAGGGGAACTGGATTGTGCCATTTGGGAAGTCACAGTAACAGAAGGCACCGAACAATAGGTACAGTACTTGTACCACAAGGAAGCTAGGAGGCTCCGGTTATATACCAAGGTCCAAAGCAGTAAAAAGGAAATGATCTTGGGGGGGGGGGGGGGGAGGTGTGGACTGTACCACTTTGACACGGAGGGGGAAGGGACTGAGAAGTCAGCGCTGGGGCTAGGCCACACAGAAGGGGGCACTGGATCCTTTTGAGACGCCAAGGGGAGACATAGAAGCAGATTGGACCAGGACGTGGAGGGGCGGCAGCCTGGGCCATACCATGCAGGCGGTAGTTTGGGCCTCGGCAGCGCCTCTCGGGGTGCCGGGGGTCCCTGTTGCCCCTCAAGGCCCTGTGGGCCAAAGGCTGCAGGGGCCGGGCGTTCCCGCTGAGGCTCTGGAAGATCTGGGACGGAGGATTCTGGCTCAGGAGTCTCAGGGAGTGCATCTGCCGTGGGAGGAGCGTGGGAAAGGGGCAGTGAACGGGCGGAGCCTAGTCAGCCCCGCCCACCCGCTGGTTGGCTGAAGTCTAATCTCCTTGGTTCCCAGTCCCAGGAGAGGGAGGGTCAGGGAGGCAAGGGCTCTCCAGGCCTAGGGGTAGGGGTGCGGACAGAGGGTCACCTGGAGAGAGGTGATGTTAAGAGGCCGGTCAATGAGGATCCAGGTGACAGTCTCTGAGCAGGGTGGGGTGCTGAGAGAGCCCTGGTAGGTGATGAAGCCAAAGGATTCGGGGAACAGGAGCTCCAGGCTCAGGTCTTGAAGAAAGTAGGCATCATCTGCGGGAATATCGGGCCAGAGTGGAGAGGGGTGCCCCTCTTAGCTCCCGCATCATGCCCCCAGCACTCCAGCACTTACTCTTTTGGGTTTTTTCTTTTTTTTTTTTGGTACCCGGGATCGAACTCGGGACCTTTCGCTTTCGAGGCAGGCGCCAGAACCACTGAGCTAAATCCCTGGCCCCAGCACTTACTCTTGTAGGAGATTCGGGTAATGGTGTCTCGGTTGAGGAGGCGACTGAGGAACGGGTTTGAGCTACCAGCCACCTACGTGGGGGTTGGAGGTGAGGAGGCAGAACCCCTAGAGTCCAAGCCCCCAACCCCCAACCCGCTCCTCCCTGAGGACCCAACCTCCCTCTTCCACCAGACCCGGATTCCAGGTGCCCTTCCAGCCTCTTCTCACGTTGACAAAGAGGCTGAGAATGGCCAGGCCATTGGGCCCTCGGGAGGCTGCGCTGAGATTCCCATAGAGTTCCTGGTTGAAGTGAATGAGCTGCACCTGGGGGGGGGGGCAGGGAGTTGGGGGTCCCCCAGCAGAAGGGGAGGAAAGGAGAACCCCAGATTTTGGAGTCAGGTTGTGGGTTCGTGCTTAGGGTAGGGGACAGTGCTGTGGAAGAGGGTCGGGCCAGGCATTTAGAAGAAGAGGTGGGAGGAGTCGGGTGACTCAGGGTGAAGGGTCACAGGGCAGAGGTCAGTGGTCACCACCTCAGCAGAGAAGCCCTGATGGTTGATCTGGTGTTCAGAGCCAGCTCCATCTCGAGCTCCAAAGAGCAGCCGCAGTTCACTGAGTCGGTGGCTGTAAAGGAGGGGACCCCCAGACACATTGACCACTGGCCGGGGTGCAGGCAGGAAGGAAACATGACGGCCGGTGTTGTACAGTGTTCCCTGGAGCTGTGAGAGAGGCAGAGAGGTCTTTCCACCTCCTACTTCCCTCCCCTCCATTCACAGAGCTCAACAATCCCTTCATCATCCAACAGACTTTGAGCAGCACCCACTCTCCAGACACTGGGCTCACTTGGTGAGTTCACTTAATGGGTTTTTTTGGGGGGGGGTACCGGGGATCAAACTTGGGTCCTTGCACTTGCACAGCAGGTGGCAAAACCACTGAGCTAAATCCCTGGCCCCAAACGGGTATTTATTGAGCTGCTACTATATGCCATGGATGCCAGGGCACAGAGCAATGAAGGAGGACACAACAGAGACAGGCAATAAATAGTGAATCGCAAAGTAACTGCATCTCCCCCAGTCCTCGGGATTGAGCCCAGAGTCTTCGCACTGAGCTGCATCCCCAGCCCTTTGTATTTTTTATTTTGAGACAGGTTCTCACTAAGTTGCCAAGGTGGCACTCAGATTCCTGATCCTAATGCCTCAGGCTCCCTTAGTGTCGGGATGTCATGCATGCGCCACCAAGCTGGCTGTTACTGCTTAAATTAATTATATCCGGTGCTCATGTTGGGAGAAACTGGGGGCTCTGGGAAAGTGTAATAGGAACCCCAGCTTGAACTGGAGAAGAGTCCAGAAAGGCTTCTCTGAGGAGGAGACATTGGATCGGACACCTATAGGACAAGCAGGGGTTCAGAGGAAAAGGGCAAGGAGAAGGGCATTTCGGGAAGAGGGACAGCAACTGCCTTCAGTGGCCTGTTTTGTTGGCACCAAAGAGACCGGGGGACTGGATGGAGCCTGGGCAACAGAAGACAGACTGGCACCGGTGCCAGATGGTGCAGGGCCTTGTGGGCAATGAGGGTGTTTTATTTTTTTGGTTTTTTGCGACAAGGTCTCACTGTGTAGCTCAGGCTGGCCTTGAACCTACTATGGAGATCATGTTGATCTTCCTGCCTCAGCCTCCCAGAGTGCTGGGATTACAGGTGTATTTTTATTTACTAAATTAAATAGGGATTGGGGTATAGCTCAGTGGTAGAACACTTGTCCAGCATGTGTAAAGCCCTGCATTCCATGCTCAGTACTGAAACATTAATAATTATATATGGCTCACTTGTGGCAGAGTGCCAAGCATATAGTAGGTGCTAAGTAGGTATTTGTTAGGCTTCTTTGTCCTAATGGAGGGTTTTGAGCAGGAGTGCTGTGACCTGCCTGGTAGGTGTGGGGGTGGAGAATGGATTGCAGGAAGCAGAGAAGCAGGCAGTGAAGGGCTGTGGCACCAGTCCCGGTGGGAAATGTCCAGGCTTGGGTGAGTGTGTGGGCCGTGGAGGGGCAAGAAGTGGAAAGGATTCCAGGGATACTGAGTAGTGAGGCTGGGAAGAACACAGTGCGGAAATGGAAATGAGGGAGGGGACGACATGAGGAAGGCTCTGAAGCTTTTGGCTGTTCCAGCTATGTGGGCTGTGGTAAGAAATAGTATTGGAGGGCCAGGGATTGAGCTCAGTGGTTCTGCCACCTGCCTCAAAAGCGCAAGGACCCGAGTTCACTCCCTGGTACCAAAAGAAAAAAAGAAATAAATGGTATTGAGCCAGGTGTGGTGGTGCACACCTGTGGTCCTAGCACTGTGGGAGGCTGAGGCAGGAGGATCTCAAATTATAGTCCCGCCTGAGCAGCTTAGCGCCTTGGTGAGTCTGTCTCAGAACAGAAAGAAAGAGTTTTGCAAAGTAGCTCCCAGCATGAACTCTAGGATCACACCTCCTGGTTCTAATCTCAGTGATAACACTCTGGGTTTGTGACTCTAGGCTAGTAGCTTAACTTCTCCGTGCCTCAGTGTTTGCATCCATAAAAGAAGAATAACAGCACCTATTTCATGGGCTTGTGAGGACTGAGGGTTTGTCAGTGTTTTAAAAGTGCCTGCCACAGGAAATGTGCTTTTTTTTCTTTGCTTCTACAGAGATGGGAAGACTAGGGAGCCATGTTTGGGAAGGGAAGAACACAAGATCTAAATAAGAAGCCTTCTCCCACCCAGGAAGTACCCCCTCCTCCCCAAGACTGTCTCAGCACCCCACCCCTACTCATACCTGCTCCCAGTGGATCCCGTAACTCCTCCCCCAAGGCCCCTTACCTTCTCTCCTCCTGTGCTGAGCCTCAGTGGGGGCAGGAAGGGGTCGTAAAGGACCCTCTTCAGCTCCACATCCACAGGGCTCTGGCGCTTCCCCACAGCACACAGACTCCAGGCTGCGTTCACCAGGCCCCAGAACGGAGGCCCTGGGGATGGTGTTGGCGGTAGGAGAAA